TGCCAAATATCAGGATTAAAATTTTATTTAGTTTCTGTCTTAGTTTCTTAAGCTTCTGTAAAACAACAGACTACAAAGTGGTTCATTTTAAAGAGCAGATATTTATTGCATCACAGTTTTGGAGTCTAAAATTCAAATCAGCGTAATGACTGTGTCAATTCCTTCTGAGAATTTAGAAGAAAAACTGTTTCATGATTTCCTCTTAGCTTCTGGCATCTTCTGTCAGTTTTTGGAGTTCCTTGGTTTACAGCTACACCGGCCTTCTTTGTCACATGGCTGTCCTTCCTCTCACTATCTTTCTATCTCTGATCTCTTTCATAAAACACCACTCAGGAGAGATTAGAAACAAACCTGCTCCAATACAACTTCGTGTTGATGGTATTGTCTCCAAACCCCTGTTCCAAACAAGACCAGGGGTCAGGACTTTGACTTAACCTCTTCGAGGAAGTCGGTTTAATCCAAAACAATTTTGTGGCTTGATTTTGTTGAGGAATAATATAAGATATTGCCAAGATTTGTGTGTGTGTGTGATGAAAATATACTCAACAAAACATAGCAGCATTTCAATAATTTCTACATATACAATTCAGTGTATAATAACTTAATTATTTGTTCCAATACCATTCTCACAATCTTTTCCCAAATCCACGCAAGGTACCCTAAGCAAAAACTGCCTCTTTCCCTTTCCACCATTACCCCTGTAATCATGAGTAACATCTGCTACGGTTTTTATATATTTATTTCATATAGTGCACGTGTACAAGATTTGTCCTTTTGTGACTGACTTTTTTATCAGCATAGTATTTTCTAAGTTCAGCATTTTCAAAGTTTCAACTTGCATCAGGACTTCAGTCCTCTTATGACTGAATATTTCATTGTATGTATGTACCGCATTTGTTTATACGTTATGGCTAGTGCTGCAGTGAATATTTGTGTATATATGTTTTCAGGTCTTTTCAAGTTTCTGGGCCATATGATAGTTCTACATTCAAAATTTTGATGAACTGCTAAACTCTATTCCACAGTCAGTCATTATATCATTTTACATTCCTACCAGCAGTGACTGAGGTTTCCTGTTTCTCTACAACATCAACAACACCTAATGTTTTCCTTTTTCTTGATTTTTACTGTTCCACTGAGAATATTTCACGGTAGTTTTCATTTGCATCGCTGTAATGGTGAATGAGGATTATGGTGGTGTAGTGGTTAAAGTGTTCCACTGCTAATGGAAAGGTCAGTGGTTCAAATCTGCCAGTGCCTCCATGGAAGTAAGATGTGGCAATCGGCTTCTGTGAAGATTTGCTGTATCAACACGTAAGTCATGCTCACTTCATAGAATGTGTTAGATAGTGTCTACTGTTTTATTTGTTTGAAAAGTTTAAATAGGATTGGAGCCATTTTTTTTCTATAGATGCTTGATAGAATTTTCCAGTGAAGTCATCTGATCTGGGACTTTTCTTTCAGAGGAAGTTTTTGATTGATTCAGTCTCTTTGTTATGGGTCTGTTGAAATGCGCTATTTCTTCATGAGTCAATGCAGGGAATTTATGTGTTTCAAGGAATTTTTCCTTTTCTCTTTTAATTTATCACACTTGTTGACATACCACTGTTCGTCACATTCTCTTCTAATCTTTTTATTTTTGTAGAAATGTTTGTAATGTTCTCAATTTCTTTTCTGCTTTTAGATGTTTACATCTTTTTTCTCTTTTTGTCAGTTTACTAAAAGATTTTATTGATTTTTTTTTTAAAACAACTTCTGGTTTGTTGATTCTCTCTTGTTTTTCTTTTCTCTCTTTCATTTATTTCTGCTCTGATTTTTATTACCCCCCCTTTTTTTTTTTTTTTTTTTGGTAGCTTTGGGCTTAGTTTGCTATTCCTGTCCTAACTCCTGGAGTTGTAGTTGTAAGCTATTAATTCGGGATCTTTCGTCTTCTTCTCCTCTGCCTTTTAATGTATACATTTATTGCTATACACTTTCTTCTGAGTACTGCTTTCAGTGCAAGCCAAAGGTTTTGATATGTTGTATTTTCATTCTCAGTTGACTCAAGTTTTTGTGTTTTTTAAATTTTTTATTGTGATAACTTCTTTGAGCCATTCAATGCTTAAAACCAAAAGACAAGGGCAACTCGGTTTCAAGAAAAGGAAAAATGATCCACTTTCCTTTAGGAAGAGCAACACAAATGTCAGAGGATGGGAGGAAATGTTGAAAAACATCTTTGTTGAAAATTTACTACAGGACTTAAAAATCATTGAATTCTACAGGCAACTGTTTAATCTGAAGACTGGCATTATAACATTATTTTAAAAAATATTTAGTTGACTCATTTATAAAGATTGAATTCAGATTTGAGGGGTCAGAATCCTGGTGTGGTACTGTAGGATAAACACTAGACTGAAAGGTCATTTGAACTTTAATGTCGGCAGTTCAAACTCACCAGCTGCTCCATGGAAACCCTATACAGAGTTGCTGTGAGTTGGAACTGATTTGACGGCAATCAACAACTGCAACATCTGGAAACAAGGCAACCGATAAGAAGTTTATAGCAGCTTGAGACTGGTAAACCTTAGGAACATCTCATGGGCCCAGAGTTTTTAAAAACTAAGATACCATGAGGTTCTTGCCGAATTTATGTCCTTCCAAAAAATGGAGTCACATCAGTCATGAGGGAGGAGGTATATAACTCTCACAAATTCTCTACCTAAATCTTTTTTGTCTATAAATACTGCTCCTGTCTTATTTTATACGTGTTTGTATCAATAAATCAGGGAAGTCAGATGAGATTTTCAGGGAGGACAGAAGCCTGCTTTGCCTTTCCGAGAGCCATTCCTGAGTCAGAGCATGGTGGATGTGACCATAAAACCCAGGCTGGCATTTTATTTCTTTGTATCATGAAGTCCTAGCCTTCACTACAGTGATCTACAAGGGCACTTTTTGCCTATTAAAAAGTTATAGGAAAAAATTACTTAACTGAAATGTTTTATTAGATCACCTCCATCGCTGAATTTCCTTCATGAGCACCAAGTTTTTGACATGCAGACAACTGTGACTTGAACAAAAGAGAAGTTAGACTAATGCTTATAACATTTCCTAGAATGCACTAAGATCAAAATCTGTGAATAGACAAGGAGATGGATTTTTAGGAATATTGAAAGTGCTATGGCTGCCAAAAGAACCAATAAACCCGTTTTGGAAGAAGTGCAGCCAAAGTGCTCCTTGGAGGCCAAGATGGCTAAACTTTCGTCTCTCATACTTTGGACATATTGTCAGGAGGGACCAGTTGCTGGAGAAGGATATCATGTGTGGTAAGGTGGAGGGAGGGTCAGAGAAAAAGAGGAAGACCCCCAATGAGATAGATTGGCCAAGTGGCAGCATCTATGGCCTAACGCATGGCAACAGTGGTGAGGTTGGCCCAGGATTGGGCAGTGTTTCGTTCTGCTGTGCATGAGGTAGCTATGAGTCGGTACCAACTCGATGGCTCCTAACAACAACAACAACAACAGCCCTTTCACCTAAGTGTTCTTAGACTAAAATTTTCACACTGTCAAGGAAGTGTTGTTTTCGCTAGTTGCTGTCAGATAGGCTTTACTTATGGTTTCTTTCTGAGTGCCAGAATGAAACCCTGCCCAGTTCTGTTCCGTTTCCTAGCACTACGTCAGAAAATGTTCTGTTAGGATCTATAAGGTTATCAATGACTAATTTTCAAATGTAGATAGTCATGTCTTCCCTTCTAGTTTGTCTTAGTCTGGAAGCTCTGTTGAAACTTGTCCACCGTTGATGACCCTGCTGGTATTTGAAATACCTACAGTATAGCTTCTGGTTTTAAAACATGTGAACTAGCCCAGTATGACAAAGGACAGATGGGTACTAGACAAAGGAAATGATGTTAGCTGTCATCAAGCCAACCGCAACTCATGGTGACACCATACACAACAGGATCACACCGTTGTGATCTGTAGCATTTTCAATGGCTGGTTTCTGGAAGTAGATAACCATGCATTTCTTTCTAGTTTTTCTTAGTCAAGAAGCTTCACTGAAATCTGTTAAATATCATAGTTACACACATGCCTTCACTAAGAGATGGGTAGTCTCATCACATGAGTTTGGAAATTGAACCCAGGTTTCCCACATGGAAGGCAAGAATTCTCCCACTCAATCACCACTGGTAAAAGGAAATGCTGTGCCTGTTGCTCATGAGTTATTTCCAGCTCATAGTGACCCACAGGATAGAGTAAGTAGATCCGCCTATTGGATTTCTAAGGACCTGCTCGGAAAAGTAAAGGACCTGCACAAAAGAGGAAGACCCTCAATCAGGTGGATTGACACAATCACTGCAACATTGACTCAAGCATAGCAACAATTGTGAGGATGCCATAGACTCTGTTGTACGTAAAGTGACTGTGAGTTGGAACCCACTTGACAACACCTAACAACAACAGTCTTTATGGAAACAGACCGCCACATTCTTCTGTGGTGTGACTGGTGACTTCGAACTGCTGACCTTTCAGTTAGCAGCTGAGTGCTTAACCACAGTACTACTGGTGTTTCTTGGATAGAAGAAAGAGTCTCAGTTAATTGCTACAAGTACATAAGAATGAAGCCGGAATAGGATGCCTTTTGGTCAATGTTTATGTACTCGCTCAGTATCACTGAACGCTTTGTTAATACTGGTGGGCATAAAGCGGTGTTAATTTTTCTCACAAACCCCAAGAGGTAGAGACTAAAAGCTGGGTTCTGTAGAAATTAGGACTAAATCTCATTCTTACCACTTACTTGCTATGTGACTACTGGCAGCCTTCTTTACCCTTCAAGCTTTGATTTCCTTTCATGTAAAACTATAGTTAATAATTGCACCTTCCTCATAGGATTGTTGTAATGATTTAAAGGAAATAACATTTATTGCACTTGTCCTCTTGCACAATATGAGTGCTCAATAAATTTTAATGACTATTGTTTTAATGGACTTCCTGCTGATCTTTGCTGTCTTTCTCCTTATTTCCTAGGGAAATGTTAATCTCAGTGGCTCTGGGCCAAGTGTTATCCCTCCTTATTTGTGGAATTGGCTTGACCAGCAAGTACCTATCAGAAGATTTCCATGCCAATACACCAGTCTTCCAGAGTTTCCTCAATTACATCCTTCTCTTCTTGGTGTATACCACCACACTAGCCGTCAGACAAGGTAAGCATGTGGAAACACCAAGGATATGGCTTGGTTTCTCTATTAGAAACAGCTAGAAGAATCATGGTTAACAACCAATAACTTTTTGTCATTTATAGCATCAGTAAGACTATTCAAAAATCCCAAATCTTACTGTTGTATTTTGCAGTGATACAGCAAACAAACTGAATGAAAAAATAAAAAACAAGAATAAATGGTATGAATTCAGTAGGAAGTGGGAAATGCAGTTATAGGCAGAAATGTGCAACTGCTCACTATTTGAATTCCTGTTGACATTTCTTGTACCGCTCAATGAATCTAAATAGACTGTTTCCCTGAAACCTGGAATAGGCCTGATGTAGCTGTTCTAAATAATGCTAGCCCTGTGAAAGCTAAGAGCATTGCAGACAAATATATGTTCTTTGGGAAAGTATCTCAGGAAAGATAAAAATTGTAAGCACAAACAACTATAGTAATACCACAGGAGGAAAGAAAGAAAAGAAAACTGTCAAAAGTGATCAGGAAAGTTCTTCTGTCAAAACTTAGAATAACTTATGTAGTTAATCAAGTCCTGAGTGGCCACTTCAAGAGTTAATGCTGGGGGAACTTATAAAGGGTTAGTGCAATTGAAAGTCTTTGGAGTATATCCCTGAGAAGTACATTTCAGAGATTAATAACTATACCACTGTCTTGGTATAAGTACTTTTATGTATAACACCAAATTAGCCAAGAATTTCCCCCAATAGCAGCTGTTGACTGTAAAATATTTAACAGAAAATAATTATTAATTCTTGGTGTTTAGTGCTATTGAGTTGGTTCTAACTCATAGCAATTATATCTGTATAGGATTTCTGAGGAGTGGTTGGTGGTTTAAACTTATCCTGTAGCACCAAACCAAGACCCCAATTATGAATAGATTTGGATTTCATTATGTGTCTTTTTTAATGATAAATAAGGCTGCCTGTATACATCATTCTTAATAGTCATACTGCTTTGGAACTTTTATAAGAAATGCTTATCAGTGTCTGTTTTTACGTTTCCTTATTTGGATTGCTTTCCAGAATAATATTGCTTAATTTTAATGATTTGGCCAGTACTCGGTTTTATCTTCCTTGGGGAGAAAGATGAGGCTTCCTGCTTCCACAAAAATGTATAGTCTTGGAAACCTTATACAGGGTCACTGTGAGTCCAAACCAATTCCTTGGCACATAACCACTACCAGCACCAGGTTTTATCATGTTGTTTTGTTATTAAGTGCCATTGAGTCAGTTCCAACTCATAGCGATAGAGGAGGATAAAACTGAAAAAGTTTCATTTTGGATTTGCTTCCAAGAATTAAAGAAGTTAATTTCATTTATTTCTCCAAACTTGGTGCTATTGGTGTTTATTTTTAAAATTTTAATGTAAGCCAGCGGTTCACAACACCATGTGAGTTTAAACCCACCAGCTGCTCCTCGGAAACCCTATACAGGGTCGCTATGAATTAGAACTGACTCGACAATATTTAATAACAAAAACAGCAAATTACTTTAAGACTAAAGTGTCAACCAAAAACCAGGTCATCAAACTACTGAAGGTCCCCAGCAACATACAGACATTGAATCTCAGTTATGTTTCCTCAGCTTGATAAGTGAGCTAATTATTTGAACTATATACAGTGTGGTAGCTAATAGTACCTTCCCCCAATTCACCACTGGTGCTTCAATCCAGACAGAGACTGGAGGAAGTGAGGAAATAGGGGAAGCATATAATTACAAATCCACTTATGAAAGACTGTTATTATGAGAAATGTGTAGTAGTTTGACCATTTCAGGAAAAATAATCTATGAAGTTTGACTTCAAAATCACTTGATGTAACCATGAATCAATACTAAAAGAATAAAAATATTTATCCCAGTACAAGGAGTATAATTAATAATTTTAGGATTACATTAAGAACAATTTTGGAAAATTCTAAGATTACAAAAGTAAAATAAAATTATGAGAAAGTGGTAAATTTACCTTATCTAGCAAGTTTTAGAACCAAACAGTATGCTAGACTACTAAAGAATTAATTGATGAATTGAAACCAGTCTTCAGGATCTTCTCTATATTCTTTTCCAGAGGGGAAAAAAATGTGTGTGTGTGTATGTATATATATATATATATATATATATATATATATATATATATGTATAGCCTAAGAAACCGAGAGAGTAATTTCCCAGTTATAGGTAGAGATCTGAAAAGCTTAGAAGCCTAAATGTACAAAAGATCCAAAGTTAATAATTATAATAATACCTTCTATTGAACGTTTATAATGTTCCAGCCACTATGTATGTGAATTATCTCTTTAAGACTTTCAATCTAAGGAAATAGGTATTATTATTCAAATTTTTATAAGCGAAAAAATTGAGGATTAGTCAACCTCAGAAACCTGCTAAAGACTATGGCATCAGAAAGTGGTAGTGGCACATCCTAAACCAGAACTTTTTGCCTCCAGAAGTCCCTGAAGAGTACAAATAGTTAACACAACTTACTGCTAACAGGAAGGTTTGAGGTTTGAGTTCACCTAGAGACACCTAGGAAAAAATGCCAGGCAATCTACTTCCAAAACATCAGTCATTGAAAACTCTACAGAGCATAGCTCTACTGTGATGCATGTGGAGTCAGTGATAGTCAGAGTCAACCCAACAGCAACCATTGTGCCTCCAGGGCACTCCCGGCCTCTGCATGTGCAGCTCAGGGGAAACAGGGCTGGAAGGGAGACACAAAAGAACCAATAAAAAGATCTTGATTTTGAACAAAAGGAGGATTTTCCCCCAAATTTCAAAACCCTGCATAGAAAACTAGGCCTGTAGTTCAAAGTTCAGTGAACAGTTGAATGGAGAGGTATCGTCATGGATGTTGGTGAGGGAGATTGGGTACGGCAGAGGCCCAAATGCAAAGAGGCCAAGGACTGGGAGAAGCAAGGAAGGTGAAGGCTCTTTGGAAAGAAAAGGCTGAAGAGAGCCTTAGGAAACCCTAACTGTTGATCCCAGTCAGCTATGGCTGGAACCAATTTCTAAATTGGTTGAAGATTTTCACCATTGCTTTGATTTATCACTACATTTGCAACATGTTTATTTATGAAGAATGTTTGTTTGTTTTAAGCTTCCTCTTCATAGGTTTTAATAGACTGGCATTAAACATCTGGAAATCAACATAGTAATTACATTAATTTTGTATAGGCTGATTTTTCAGTAGTATGCTCTGGAGGCATAACAATCTCTTTACTCATGCATCTCAAGATCTGGTGAGGAACGAATAATAGTATGATGAAAAGAGAAAAGTCTGGTGTGTACAATGGGAAGCTTTCTGATCACCACAGTATGTCTTTTCCTGTCCAGTACTCCTCAGACCACTTTGTCTATTGGGCTGCAGACTAGGACTGAATCACATGTTGCTCTTGCTAATTCTTCTAGCACAAATATCACTTACACCCATGAACCATCAGATTAACTTTATGCCACCATCAGCCTACGTAAGGCCACATAACAGAAAGTTAGATTCAGAAATATATTTTTAATCAAATCTTTATCATTCTAACCACTTACCTTCTGAAAAATTATGAGTGTCACAATGTAATAAATGTGCAAAACTCCCCAAAAGCATTAAGATTGATGTTATTGCAAAAACCTGCCAAAGTTTGACTTAACAGTGGAACTGAATTCTCTCTATCAAGTTTGTATTGGATCAATGATCAAAAGATGTGATGTAGGTTCCATCATGAGATTCAAACTGACATTCTAAACTTGCCTCCCAATGATTAATGACTCCTACAAACATAACGACTATCCTCTTTAAAGAAATTGAATTCTACTGAGCACCTTCAAAGTCTAGTCCTGTCCTTGGTTAGGGCTGCCTCTAAAATTAAAAAATGTCTTGCTGTTCATAATGAAGAACTGAACTTGAGTTATATAACTTTATGAAGAAAAGTGTATTTCCAAAAGATAAATCAATTAGAAAGAGCATAATTCCATTGAAAATACATCAAATTTGAAAAATTAAATAAAATATAGATGGCTATAACATTTCTGATGTGGCACTGTAGTATAAGCACTGGGCTGCAAGGTCAGTTTGAACTGCAAGGTCAGCAGTTCAAATCTACCAGCTGCTCCTCAGAAGCTCTATACAAGGTCACTATGAGTTAGAACTTCATCAATGGCTCTAAACAACAACATAACCTTAATATAATCCTTTTAACCACTTTTGAGAACTAATTTCTGATAATTAAATTGCTCATGCTGTGTGTACTATGAAGTGATTCAGTAATATAACTAAAACAGCATAGGGAAGCTTCCAAAAACATATGGATGACCCCAGGAAATCCTCAAATGATTCCTCAAAACTTTTTCCTTAAAATTCTATATACCAGCTGAAACTAGGAAGCAGTGGACGTTAACATTCAAAGACCATAAATGAAATTGGGCGGGGGTGGGGTGGGGGATTCTGACTCTTCCTGCTTTTGTGATGTAGAAGAAATGTGATAGGCTTGTAAAAAAAATTAAACAAGGTAAAAACAGTATACAAATCTTACCCAGATTTGTATACAAATCTTACCCAAATTTGTATACAAATCTGATGGTAAAAAATTTGCTATCAGACTCTTTTCCCATAAAGTTATCTTATCAATTATTTTTTTAAATTCTGCTGCTTTCCGGAACTACTTTAAGCAGTTCTTTATTTTATTTTGTTGTTAAGAAAATGCACAGTATAAAATGCATCAAATAAACCATTTCTACATGTATAACTCCATAACATTGACATCTGTTGACTTGAGCAACCTTGCTCACCCTCCTTTACCTCCTCCATTAATGTAAACTCACTGCCCCTAAGTGCCCTATCTAATCTTTTGAGTTGTTTTTGTCGCTTTGATGCCATATAGAAAGATCTTAAAAGAGCAAAATGCTCAAGATAGACGTACTTCATTAGTTAAACTGAACTATTGTTTGGTTTTATGAAGACTTCAGGGTGTATTTTTGGTTTAAAGTTTAAAGACT